GCTCCAGAGTGGACGCCGGCGGCGCAGGGCGGGGCGCCGGGAGCGCTCTCTGCCGGCGCGTCGGCAGGGGAGCCCCCGCAGCGGCGGCCCTGCGCGAGCTCGCAGCGTGCTCCTGGAGCGTTCTCCTGCGCATTCCCCCCAGGCGTGCCGCGAGCCTTGCCGCAGCGCCTTCGCAGCGTGGCTGGATCGGACCGAACGAAAGGGGGGGATTGGGAAAGGGGGGGTTACGAAATCTGCTGCATGCAGCTGGTTTCGGCCCCACCGAGGGGCCCATTCCTCGATACATAGCCGCCTCCGGCGCTGGGAGGCGCCGGGGAAATCAGCTACGCGAGCTGATTCTCAAACCCCCCCTTTGCTATCCCCCCCCTTTCGCCCGACCCGACTGGAGTTCCTGCGGAGTTCCCTCCTCGAGCATAGCCACGGCCTTTTCAGGCGTTCTGGCAGGCGTCTTCCGCAGGTTGCCACGCGCTCTTGGCCTGCTCGCTATCTCCTGGTTTCGGAGGCCACCCGTGACGGTCCAGTTCCCGTGGGATGCCTGCGCCAGGAGCTCGCGTCTGATTTCGGAGCGGGCCTCGCCATCTTCCTGACGGCCCCGTCGGGCCCACCCGAGGCCCCCCGCACCCGAGTCTGGCTTCAGGCCTCCCAGACGGGGTCGGAGCAGACGAGGTCGGAGGGTCGCGGTGCCTCGGCGACGCGGCGCGATCCGACCCCGTCCAGTCGGACCCCGTCCAGGATGCCTCTACAATTACTCAATATGAAAATACTCTCCCTCTTCCCCTGATGGCGTCCGGGTGATGGCCGCGCACCCTCCGCGTATTGTTTTTTAACACGCAGGATTCCCGGGAAATCCCGGGAAACGACTCTCGCTGAGGCGCCGGCGTCATTTTCGGGCCGAACGCCCCCCGCGTATTGTTTTTTTACACACAGGATTCCCGGGAAACGGGTTTTCGCCTGCGTTTTTTCTCAAAATGATGCTCTCGCTGAGGCGCCGGCCTCATTTCTGCTCCCGAATCGTTCCGAATCGTGCTCCCGCTGCAGCGTGGGCCTCATTTTCGGATCGGTGTTTGGCCTCCGTCGTTCAGGATGGCGTTCTCGCCCCAGCGCGGGCCTCTTTCTCGCGCGCCCATCCGCCCGCCACCACCGCGCCGCACCACCACCACCACCACCACCACCACCACCACCACCACCACCACCAGCACCAGCACCACCACCACCACACCACACCACCACCACACCACACCACCACCACACCACACCACACCACACCACCACCACGACACCACGCACACACGCACGCACGCACGCACGTGCACCACCACCCACTACGCACGCGCGCGCGGAGCCACAGGTCCGCTACGACACGCGTCCGCGGATAGAGAAAATCAGCGCCATGGTAAGGGATGGGAGGGAGGGGTAGGACGTCAGATATGACGCGAGCGCACCTAGCTTGCCTCCCCCTCCTCCTCCTCCTCCCCCTCCCCCTCCCCCCATCCCCCATCCCCCATCCCCCATCCCCCTTCCCCTCCCTCCTCCTCCTCCTCCTCCTCCTCCTCCTCCTCCTCCTCCTCCTCCTCCTCCCCCTCCTCCTCCTCCTACTTTTTCCCGAGCTGCAGCAGACGCTCCCGACCGCAGCCGCGCAGCCTGCGCGTCGCCAGAGCCCCGCCGCGCGGAGGCGCGCGGCCGGCCCCGCGGTGCCCCCTTTTTTTTCGCGCGCGCGGGGGCAACCGGAGCCTCGCGCCCGGGCGTCCTCCGCTCGACGGGGACGATAGTGGGTCGGGGTCGGCAAAGAGGGGGGTGATGACTAGGGGGGGGGGATATCATGGCGGGGGCCATGATATTTCCCCTGATTTCATGGCGCCTCTTCTTATGTCATTACGTCCCTGGCCCCCCCACTGGGCCGCGCACATGCCGCCGGTCATGATTTGCGCCCCCCCCTCTTGGACACCCCCCTCTTGGACGCTCCCGAATGGACGAGAAGGGCGAACAGCCCAGAGGCGGGCATTACGCGCATTCGCCCGGGAGCCTCGCCGAAGACATGGACCATCGGTTCCTTGGATGCGTGTATTGCTCCACCCTGGGCTATTCGCCCCCATCCCTTGGCATCGCTCGGACGCGTGCCGCCTCTCTCGGCGAGGCCCATCGAGGAGCACTTGAGGCCATCCTGCGGAAAACGCGCGCACCAGACTCTGACCGACAAGTGCGCGGGCAGCGGACGTCCGAGCGATGCCGAGAATCGTCGCCTCTGCCCCGCGCGCCTCTGCCCCGCGCCGCCGCACCTCCACTCGCGGCGCGAGGCCTCTTTTTTTCGATCGCTCCGCCCCTCGGGGCGCCCGCCGACCCCCCGGGCGCAGGGCGCCCTCGGGGCGCGGGCCGCCGCAGCGTCGTCGTCAGCGTCGTCGTCAGCGTCGCCGTCAGCGTCGCCGTCGGCGTCAGCGTCAGCGTCAGCGTCAGCGTCGGCAGCGTCGTCGTCGTCGTCGTCGTCGTCGTCGTCGTCGTCGTCGTCGGCGTCGACAGCGCCGTCGCCGTCGTCCGCGTCGTCGCCATCGTCGGCGTCGTCGCCGTCGCAAAAGCGTCGTCGCTCGAGCCTCCGTCGAGTCGAGCCTCGGGGCCGCCCTCGGGGCGCAGGCCGCTATGCCTCTGCCCGCGCGCTCTGCACGCCCTCGCGCGCCAGCGGCCGGGAGCGCGCCTCCTCCTCCTCCTCCTCCTCCTCCTCCTCCTCCTCCTCCTCCTCCTCCTCCTCCTCCCTCCTCCTCCTCCTCCTCCTCCTCCTCCTCTTCCTCCTCCTCCTCCTCCTCCTCCTCTCCTCCCTCCTCCCTCGTCCTCCTCCTCCTCCCTCCTCCTCCTCCTCCCTCCTCCTCCCCCCTCCTCCTCCTCCTCCTCCTCCTCCTCCTCCTCCTCCCCCCTCCTCCTCCTCCTCCTCCTCCTCCTCCTCCTCCTCCTCCTTATCCTCCTCCTCATCCTTCATCCTCATCCTCCTTCTCCTCCCCCTCCCCCTCCCCCTCCTCCTCCTCCTCCTCTCCTCCTCCTCCTCCTCCTCCTCCTCCTCCCTCCTCCTCCTCCTCCTCCTCCTCCTCCTCCTCTCTCCTCCTCCTCCTCCTCCCCCTCCTCCTCCTCCTCCTTCCCCCTCCTTCTCCTCCTCATCCTTCTCCTCCTCATTCCTCCTCCTCCTCCTCCCCCTCCTCCTCGCGCTCCTTCTCGGCTGGACCCCCTACTTGCTCTCGCCGGGCGGCCTGCCCGTGACCCGCCTGCGAATGGTTTCTTCGGCGCATGGCCCGGTGCAGGAGGAGGAGGAGGAGGAGGAGGAGGAGGATGAGGAGGAGGAGGAGGAGGAGGAGGAGGAGGGAGGAGGAGAAGGAGTCAAGGAGGAGGAGGAGGAGAAGGAGTCAAGGAGGAGGAGGAGGAGGAGGAGGAGGACGGAGGAGAAGGTGGAGGAGGAGGTGGAGGAGGAGGTGGAGGAGGAGAAGGAGGGAGAGGGGGAGGAGGGAAAAGGAGGCAAGCTAGGTGCGTTCGCGCTTCATCTGACATCCTCTCCCTCCCTCCCATCCCTCCCTTCTGCGCTGTTTTTTCTCTGCTCGTTGACGCGTGTCGCGGCAACGTGTTATGCGCAATCGGGAAAGGGGAGTTGCGTGCACAGGAGGAGGAGGTGGCGGGTGAGCAGGAGGATGAGAGGGAGGAAAAGGACGACGACGAACAGAAGCAGCAGGAACTGGAGTGGAAGGAACAGGAGGACCAGGGGAGGGCGGAGGAGGGGAAATGAGGGGGACGACGACCACGATGAAGGACGATTCCGATCCAGGAATGTGGCCCGCGCTGGGGCGAGAGCGCCACTCTGAACGACGGCAAAACGCCGCTCCGTACATGCATAAAACCTTGACATCGCTCGGACTTGTGCATTTTTCCTTCGGCGAGGACAATCGAGGAGCATCCTTGATCATGTGGCGAAAAAAACCACGCACGAAACCGAAAAAAAACAGGGAATGGACGTCCGAGCGATGGCGAGAAAACAGCACGCGGAGAGGGCCTGGTATCTTCCGGACGGAGTCAGGGGAGAGAGAAGAGCAGATTTCAGAGTGCCCAATTGTGGAGGGAAGAGCAGAAGAGGGAAGAAGAGGCATAGGAGGAGGAGGAGGAGGACGACGACGACGAGAGGAAGGAGGAGGCGGAGGAGGAGGAGCGGTGATAAAAGATGAGTTGCCGTTTTCTCGCTGGGCCAGATCGTCGGCCCATGGCCCACAGTCACCCCACGCCGCGACCGCCCACGTTCTCGAGCAGGTTGCTCCCGGTCCAGCCTCCTCCTCCCCCTCCTCCTCCCCCTCCTCCCCCTCCTCCTCCCCCTCCTCCTCCTCCTCCCTCTGCCCTCTTCCTCCCCTCCTCCTCCAGGACCGGATTGCCACGGCGCGTTCCCACCTCAAGCAGACAGTTGCAGGCCGTGTTGAGCAGGCTCCCAGCCAGGATTTCGAGCCCGGGCACCGACGGAACATGGCCCACCGACGCCGTTGCCATGGATTTCGCTGTGTCCCCTCTCGCTTGACGCTGCTTCATGGGGACCCTCAAGATGTTTTGGGGGTCTCGCTCCTCCTCCGATCTCCTCCTCCTCCTCCTCCTCCTCCTCCTCCTCCTCCTCCTCCTCCTCCTCCTCCTCCTCCTCCTCCTCCTCCTTCTCCTCTGCGAAGATCTGCTTGGAATGAAAAGAATGCTTTTGCTGCTGCTCGCGCCGAGCTTGACCCAAGGCCTACGGATCGAGTCTGCTGCATGCTGAAGCTGCAACTGCGGCTGCTTCTCACACAACCTCTTCTATCTCGATACGTAGGGCCAGTCACTTTATAACACCGGGCTATTCGTCAATATGGAATATGTATCATACACATCTGAGCGTCCTGTGGCCAGGCTGGCCTGCGCGGTTCAGGCACGCGTCCCGTTCAGGAAGGACCTTACTAGGGCAGCACTCACATCAGGACGCCTCTCTCTCTCCGGGGTCACCCCCCGCCACGATTCTCCGCCTTGGTCTCGTACTTGCACCTGTAGACGTATTCTCCCGTCTTGAGGACGTGCTCCAAATAGCTCTGGTCCTTCATGTGCTTGGTCAGTGGGTCGGCGAGCATCAGGCGGGTGTTTGTCCACGTCAAGCCGTCTCCGGCTTCCAATCGATCTCGAAGGTCCGCGAGGTCTAACACGATCCTCCTCTCCGTCGGCATGCTCCCCTCCTTCCGGCAGAGGTCGACGAAGCTCTTGCAGTCCGTCACGCACAGGCTGGGGATCTTGCCCTTCAATGTCGTCCAGTCGCTCTCTGACTCCCAGCCGTACAGCATCTCGGCCAATGCCGTCCTCACGAAGCACGCCCTATCGAACCCGTAGCTCGCACTGGCCGCCTCCGCTGCCAATGTAGATCTCACCACACGATGGATCTTGCTCGAGCACCAATCCACCACGTTGACCTTCTTGGCGTCGAACTTCTCGTCGGTGAGCAGTAGGATGAACCCTTGTTGCGATCCACTCCTCGGCTGCCTGTCGTACGAGGCATCGTGTACGCACATGCATCCAAATCGCCCCGATCCATCTCCGCGATGAAATCGTAGCTTGACGTCACGCGTCACCATCTCCTTGGCCATGCTCAACACCGTGTTCGCCTTGCACAGCTGGCCGACCGTCAAGTCTGGCGTCTGCTGTTGCAGGTCACTGACGTCATAGGCTAATCCAGGTAGTGTCGTCCGCGCGGGCCACGATAATTGTTGTCCAAGGCTGCGGTACTTCGAGAGCTCTTCTTCGGTCGCCTTGCTCTCGGGGTCCTTCCGCCTGGAGGCCGGCACGAAGATCTTCTCCATCTTCTCGATGTACTCGTGCTGGTCGACCTCTATGGACTTGTCCGACAGCTGGTTGATGCGCCGGCCGAGGAACTCGAACCGACCCTGCTTCTCCTTGGTCACGTTTAGCTTCTCGCGTACGATCTCCTTCGCTCTGGCGAACCGCTCGCCGGTACCACCCCAGAGTCCGTCGTCGACGTGAACACACAGGACCGCCTCGATCTTGCCCTTGTCGTCCCGAATGACAAAAACTCCTTTCATGGTCTTGAGCGGCTGGAATCCGGCCTGAATCAACACCTCCGAGAACTTTTCCCACCACAAGCGAGGGGATTCTCGTAGTCCGAATACACCTTTGAGTAGTTCCACCAAGCTTCCAGCAGGGACTCCAGGCAGCCCTTCCCCGGGAGGCATCACATATAACCGTCTCGTGTTCGTCTTGCCGGTGAGGAACGCCGAGCCGATGTCGAACGCCCCGAGATCCCAGCCGAAATGCGCTGCCAAGTTCAGCAGCAGCATCAGCCCTACCATGGGCGCCACTGGTGCATCTGTCCGCGTGCCTGCCGTCTCTGACGAAACCGCCATGCGTTTCGCGTGCTTGATGCCAAGCTTGCCCTGGTTGTCCGGGTCGAGGTGGCCTGGGATCACGAGTCGGCTGTTCGGTTGGCCCTCCTTGAGGGTATGCACGAAGCGTGCCGGCACCTTGAAGATCCTCGACTTGTCGACTTTCGCCGCCTCGTCGGGCAGGACCACCCTGACGGCCTCGTGCTCCAGGTGCTGATTCCAGTTCTTGGCGATGCTCTTGTTGAACCCAAGCCACTCCGCCTTCGTGAACTTCCGCGAGTCCAACTCCTTCCCCTTGGTGCCTGCTTGGAAAGGACGGAGCTCCAGCGAGAACACGTCGTTCATCGCGTACAGCGTCTCCGTGTCCAGGTCCGGGACTGGGGTCTCGACGGCTTGGTTGAACACCGTCTCCACCACTGGTGCCGGAGGCACAACCTCTTCTATTTGCGATGGTGGTGTAGGTGGTGGCGTAGGCGCCCCAACACTCCCTGCTGGTGATGGCTGAGCTTCAGGCTCAGGTGTCTGTCGTGGTTCTTCCACTCGTTCTGAAACAGCTCCCGGCACTGGCACTTCGACTGGATTCGGAGGTATCGTTGTACTCTCCATCGCGCTCGGCCTCAGGTCCTCGAACGTGTGCTGGCCCCTCGAGATCCCGCTCAGGTCCATGTTGTAGTTCTCGAGGATGCTGCTGATGGCCTCGCTCGCCAAGCGCTCCTCTGGGGTTGCCGACCTGATGTGTTGTGGTGCCACCAGCAGGAGGTTCCCGTTGAACACCAGCCAGTACGCTTCGTTCTGGCCTTCACGTCCCCACTCCCTGCCGAGGATGACTGCTGGACCGTGCCACCGGTCTGCCCGTCTTGTGGATCTTGCCTGCGGCTTGAAGGTACCTGCCGCTCGCCAGAAGAACACGCACTCTCCGGGCATCCACGGCGAAGGTGTGGGTCGGTAGTTGTGGACGATGGCCTTCCTCCACTTGTCGCTGTTGTCCAGCTTCGCCAGCGCGACCTGAGCCGCCTCGCTTATCTTCTGCGACCGCTGGACCTGGTAGTCCTTGAGCACCGCGTCGTGCACGGCGATCTCTGGGTACTGTTCGTCACTGAGGAGGCTGTCCAGCACGCTGCCTGGCAACCTGTCTCCACAACCGAAAACTCTCATCCTAGGACTGTATCCTGATGGATCCACTCTTCGGTTCTTGCAGATGTTCGCCGCCGCTATGGCGAGCTCCATCTCGGCCGGGCCCTGGATGGTGCACTCGTCCACAATCGCGCGCACGATGTCGTTGCTGACGGCCCCGTGGCGCTCGACCAGCCCGTGTTGCCACGGACTTTCCGTGGGCACCACTCTCATCGTGATTCCCACCGACTCCGCGTAGGACGCGAAATCCTTCCAGAACTCCGAGCCGTTGTCGGAGTGGCACGCGAGAGGTACTCCGGCCCAGGCGCACCACTTCGTCATGAACATCCTGGCCGCCTCTGCGTTGGAGGGGTTCTCCAGCATGATCAGGCACGAGAACTTCGTCGCGAAATCCACGCAATTCAGGGCCAGGTACTTGCCGCCACTCGCGTCCTTCAGCTCCTTGGTGTCCACCCCGACCGCGATCCCAAATGACGTGGGTCTCTGTCGGCTCGACACCACTCGACGTCGTTCTGGAGCTGCTCGTCTCGCGCACACCTGGCACTGCCACACCTTCGCGTAGTCCAGGTGCAGCTGGGAGGCTCCGCCTAACCTCATCACTCGTAGTAGCGCTTCACGGCCGCAATGACCCAGATTCCGGTGTGCTCGTCGTACTTCCGCGCGAACTTCAGGCGGAACATGGGCCACTTCTTGTTGGCCTCTCGTCGTAGAGAACATCTCGCCCGCCGGGAGATCCTCTGGGTACAGCGGGTCCCTGGTGATGTCTGCCTCCTTTGGCACGTCCACCTCCTGCTCCACCTCGTCCTCCGGGTTCTCGTCCTCTTCCGCTGTTGTCTGAGGTACTTGCTGCTCTTGAGGCTCCGGTGGTTGTTGTACTTGCTGCTCTCGAGGCTCCTGTGATTGTTGTCCTTCAGGATCTTCTGGGGGTACATCCGGTAGAACTTCAGGTGGGGCTCCTCGGAGTCTGGGCGAAACCTTCTTCAGTATCGTCACCACCTTCCGCAGTTCTCCTCGCGTGCCCGAGGTTTCTGGTCCATCTTGGTCGACCTGTTTGTCGAACTCCTCGCAATACCATTTCTTCCCGCCACGGTCACTTGTCTTCTTGACCGCATAAACGGATCTCACGGTGTGCTCGGGGTAGTCCTTCGACCATAGTTGAACCCTACCTTGTCCCACGTGTATCACAAGGTCGCCGCTGCCGTGCCAGCCGGGCGTCAACTTCGTCAGGTACCTCGTCTGGTCGAATGAAATTGTGCGTCGTAGTTGGCTAGCACCGCCATGTGAAAACGTCGGCGCTCGCACCTTCTTGATGATGCCCTTCTTGTCGTTACCCAAACGCGAACGCGTGGGTGTGGTAGGTGGGGTAGTCGTAATCGGAGGAGTCGTAGCAGATACAACCCTCACTCTCTTCTCTTTTTGTTGGGCGTGTGGGGCTGGCATTCTCCGCTTTGATGTCGTAGGTGTGGTAATGCGTCGTCGTTTCGCCTCGTTCGCAAGGGCGTCGTGTGTAGTCCGTATGTCCAACGCCTCCGCGAACACGCTGATGACGGCCTCGGCGAACTCCTTCGTGTAGCCGCCGGCGTACGTGCTCGTCCTCATGTTTTGCGTAGCCAGTCGCCCTTCGATCTTAGCGTGTTGTCGGTGTCCTGGGCACCGTCGTTCGAGCTTGTCCGCCATCGTCTGCGTGGACATGATGATTCGTGATGGCTTCTTAATGGGTAAATCCGAGTCTGGATGTCGGAGCCCGAACGCGCACATGTCCACCACCGTCGTGCCGTGCGACTTCAGCAGCTCCACTATCGGCCTCTCCTGGAAGGCCTTGCTCGTGAGCGGGTTCTCGCCGTAGAAGTAGGCTCCGCGTTTGCGTTGGTAGTCGGCCACCCTCTTCACGAACCTCAACGCTCCACGGGACTGCTGTTGCCGCACCTGCAACTCCTTCTGGAACGCTGGGCGGTGTGCCTGGTAGTTATGCATCACCGTCCAGGGGTCACAGGGCCAAGCCATGGCCACCACGTCCGGCTTGTTGTCGACGACCTCCCTCCAGGCTCGTGCTCGCCCGGAACGTGTGTAGAGGTCGAAGCCCGTCTCGATGCTAATTGGCGGCATGACCTGCCACCCTTGCGCCGCCGCCTCGCACGATAGAGCAAGCGTCCACGAGAAGATCTCCAGGAACTTCCACCTCTTGGATTTCGACCTCGCTGTCGGCGAGTCTTTGTGGCCGGATCCCTTCGCCTCTGCGGCCAACGCGTCAGCAAATCCTCTCGTGGTCCTCTGCAGCCTCTTCTTCCTACCTCGCTGCAGGACTCCAACACGCGAGAGGTCCTTGAAACCGAGTTCGCCGGCCTCCTCCTGTGGGGTCATGTCCATCTTGCTGTTGATGTGGAAACACTCCGGGAACTCGTTCGGGTTGCCATACTCTCCGATGTCCACGAGGAAGTGCCCCGACCGCGACTGCTTGATCGGCTTCTTGAACACTCCGGCCTCCTCGATGTCCATCACCTTCTTGCGGTAGTTGACGATCACGCCCAGGTCCTGCATCGCCTGCTGCGATAGCAGTGGTGGTGTTCGTCCTTCCACTCGAGCCACCTCGATGACTCCGTGTGTGCCATTTATCCCCGCTGGGTAGACGAACGACTCCGTGCTGACTGCCACGTCGCCGCCGCCGAACCTGAACTCCTCATTGATGTCCTTCTTGACCGGCTGGAGACCCAAACTCTTCAGGTGGGCCTGTAGGTTGTCGTGCCACTCGTGTCCTGCGACGCTGCGCCTGCATCCGCTGTCGTTGATTAGCTCCGTCGTGCCGATGTCGTCCCACAACACGTCGTTGACCACGAGCGCGTCCCTCTTGTCCTCGCGGCTGTACGCCTTATCCCTGATTTCCTTCGCGTAGTTCGTCTTCGGGATCCGCTGGACGTACCGGTTGCAGTTCTTGCAGATCGCGAACGTCCAGGTAGAGGTGGTTGTCCAGCGAACGTTGTCCAGGGCCTCGCCGGAGCCCGCATTCTTGTGCTCGCAGGGGTTCTCCACCTGGTCGGTGATGAACGCTATCAACCTATCGATCCTCTCCCGCTTGGTGCCACTGTAGGGCTGCTCGAGCATCAAGAGTATGTCCTGCAGCTGCTTCGCCGTCAGGATCCTGAACACCTCCAGCTCGCAGTCGGTCACGTATCCCGCGTGGTGGTCGCGCGCGCGGTTCGTGAAGTCCACCACGAACTCGTCCAGCCGCGCCCTGTACCGATCGACCAACGAGCGTACGTCGTCGCCGCTGACGTGGATCCTATCCGACTGGAACCTCGAAGCCGCTGGTGTCGATTTAGGCTTCGGCCGCGCTGAGGGCTTTGGCTTCTTGCCGCCGTCGGCACTTCCAGCCGCTCCTGAAGGTTTCTTTTCCACGTCCTGCCATCCGTCAACTTCTTCCTCCATGAACGACGCGTGCAGGTTGGATCGGAGGAGTCTCTCGACCAACTCCTCCCGTGGTCCCGTCAATTTATGCTTCCTCCTTGCCAACTCCGCGCTAAGCTGCTCCTCGGTCCAGCTCTTGTAGACCCCCTCGGACTCGTCTGAGTCCTTCTCGAAGGAGTCGTCTTCGAACTCTGAGCCCGGTGTCAGGCCTCCTGGGATCGAGCCCACGGTTGTTCATCTCTTGCTTCACCTCCGTCTTGACCTTCTGCGAACCCAGCACGAAGGCATCCACCGGTCCCGGATGGGGAGATGGCAATGCTTCCGCTCCGTCGTTCAACCACTTGAACTCCATGTGCGCCGTACTGTCCGTAGCCATCGTTGCTGCCACGTTCGCCGAGGAAGAACTCTTCTTGCCGTCGCCCTTGCCGCCAGGCTTGAATGGAGACGTAATCCCCGCGATCACCTTCGGGCACTCTGGGTCGCCCTTCCAGTGGCCTGGCTGAAGGCAGTCGTTGCACACCCTGGACTTCTTTCCCCGGCCACCACTCGTGGTGTTCTTCCCGCGGCCCTTGCCGCGGCCAAACTGCTTCTTCTTCGCCTTGAAGCCCTGGTAGAACGCGTCCAGCACCACCTCCTCTTCGTCGTCCATGGCGTCCGAGTCCTGCTCGCAGTACTCGTACTCGTCCTCCTGGTGGTTGTCTGGCGCCTCCTCCGCCACGAGGGCGTCTTGTGGCTGACCATCTTCTTCATCGTAATCAGGGTAGTCTTCATCTTGGCTGAACTCTTCATCTGCGTCCATTCAACCCGCGTAATTGGCATTCCAGACCGGTCGCCGAAACCAGCCTTTTCCACCTCCCGATGTTCCGGAAGGTTTTCCTCCTCCTGCATTGCTGCCTGAAGTAAACTTCGAAGCAGGCTGTCCAAAACGTGGAGGGAACTGTCGGTACTGCGTGTTCCTGCTCGGGTGCTCGTTCTTCTTGTCAACGCCGCTTCTCGTCCAGGTGAACATCGCCATAGACCATCTTGATCGTCGCTTCGATCTTCTCCGAGTTCCACTCCGCGCCTGCCGCTGCTAGTACCTGCCGCTGGGCTTCTCGAGATAGCCCTGAGCTCCGCAAGAGCTTCCTAGCGAATGAGGTGTCGGAGTATGTAGTGCCAGGGTCGTGTACTTTGAGATTGCGCCTGGCTGTCTTCAACCTCGCTATGTAGTCGTCGACATCTTCTCCGAGGCCTCTGCGGCATTTCTCGAACGCCCTGAGGTGCTTCTCGCTGCGCTCGTAGTCCTTCTCGGTGAACTCCTCGTCCAGAATCTCCATCAGCTTCCGCAAGCCGACCTCGCTGCTGAGCACGTCTAGGTCGAGCGTCTCGACCAACTCCCTTGGCTGTCCGTCGCCCTTCTCGAGGCTGAGGTACACCACGGGTCCGAGGTCCGCTGGAGCCACCTTGTAGATCTTCTCTGTGATCTCAATCTCTTTTCGCCACTCGCGATAGGAATTGGGATTCCTCGCCAACTCCTTGCTGAGGACCGTGAGCTTCACCCCTGGCATGCGTCCATCTCCTCGAAACTGCAGACCACCTCCGTCGGCGCCTGCTTGTTCTCCTGACTCTGGCATCGTGTGCAGGAGATCCCAACTGCTGTTCGCGGACTCGCTGTCCGTGCTCTCCGTCTCGTCAGTGTCTGTGGCCTGCTGCGGCCACTCGCTCGATGAGCGCTGCCCACTGACTCCGTGAATGACAGGAACCAATCGCTCCCGCTACCAATGCGAAGATCTGCTTGGAATGAAAAGAATGCTTTTGCTGCTGCTCGCGCCGAGCTTGACCCAAGGCCTACGGATCGAGTCTGCTGCATGCTGAAGCTGCAACTGCGGCTGCTTCTCATCCTCCTCCTCCTCCTCCTCCTCCTCCTCCTCCTCCTCCTCCTCCTCCTCCTCCTCCTCCTCCTCCCTGCTTCCCTCCGCGTCCTCCTCCCTCTCATCCCCGTCCTCATCCTCATTCCTCCCCTTCGCACCCTCCTCCGCGGTATCGGTTGACGGTGCGATCGGGAACCATCAAGGCGGACTAAGATGGCTTTCTGGTGCCACAAGCTGGATGGAGTCGCCTCCTACTCCACCTCCCCATAAAACCCCCGTCCTGATATTCCTGCAATGTTCCATGAAGCAGGTGCGTAAAGAGTCTGGGTATCCTTCTCATCATCACGTAGACATACAATGGAGGAAGGAGGAGGAGAATGAGGGAGCAGGGAAGGGACGGAGGAAGGAGAAGAAGAGGAGGAGGAGGAGGAGGAGGAGAAGAAGAAGAAGAGGTAGGAAATAAGAGGAGCGGGGTCATCCCTCCTCCCTTTCCTCCCTCCTCATCCTCATCCTCTTTTGATCCCTTCTCTTTACAGAGAACTCCTCCTTGTCGCACCCACGGACGTGTTGGTAGGGTGGGCGGGCGGGGCGTTTCGCTTGAGACCCTCACTGGTTATGGCCCTGCAGCTCGAAATTTGCAGCAGATGCACGGATGAAGCGGTGATGCTCAAAATGAGGCATTCGCTGTAGTGCCGCGCACAATCGTTGCACAAGTTTGCAACAGTTTCGTGGATGGAGGCGTCGTCTTCAAAATGTTGTTCTCGCCGTTGCGCTGCGCGCATGAGTCCCATCAGCTTGCGATAGCTACAAGGATGGAGGGGGTCAGCATAGATCACTCGCCTTGGCGTCGTGTCCATTCCTGCTGAAAGGTTGTAGCAGTTACAAGGACGGAGGGCGCTTCCGTTTCAAGATCGCGATGTCGCCGTGGCAGCGGCGCGCACAGTCTTTCTGAACGCTTGCAGGAGCTGCAGGGAGGGAGGGCAGCGTCTTTTCCGAACTGGGGCTCTCGCCGTAGCGCCACGATGCTGTCCGAGCAGCAACTGCAGGGGATGGGGGACTGGGGTTAAGGCGGGCGTGTCCCTTTGCAGGGGGAATACTCCAGAATAGTCCAGCAAATACTCTGGGGACGATGTCTTGACTACTGTCGAGCATTTTGGGGGCATCTTTTGCGTATGTTTTCATTTGTCGCCCAAAATCCCCCTTTGTAGGGGGACAGGCCCGACGGCAGACTCGGGACGGCTCCGTGCCCAGCCGCTGGTTCTCTCGCCTGAGACTCCACGCACCCCCTCGGGTCGGAAGTGGAGCAGCTGCACGGGCAGAGGGCGGTCCTCCAAGTAGGGGTTACACGCCGGTCGCTGAAAGTATGTATATTTTGGGGCTCCCAGAGCCCAATCTTTCGATGCTCGTTTGGGGGACCTTCTTGGGGCCCACCTAATGGATCTGTTCGACTCAGGTTCGACTCAAGTTCGACTCAGGTTCGACACAGATTCGACTCAGATTCGACTCAGGTTCGACTCAGGTTCTGGTCAGGTTCGACGCAGCTTCGACGCACGAGTGGAGCGAGTGGCTCCAGGAAGGTCCCCAGAATGAGCATCTAACAATCTACTTCAAGCGCATTCCTACTTCAGGAATCGATCTGCTGTTGCTGCGTGTTGTTACTCTCTGAGCGGGCCCGAACCCAATCTACTCTACATATCCGCCTTCCTATTTCATGTTTCTACCTATTTCTTCCGACCGGTGTGTAAGTCGGCCCTGTCCCTCTACGGAGGGGGATATCCAAAAATAGTCAAAAAAAAATAGTCTGGGGACGATTTTTTCAGTATGTTTGGCTTTGTTTGGGCATCGTTGGGGCATCTCTTAAGGTTTGTCCAAAATCCCCCTGTAGGGGGACAGGCCCGACCTAAAAATAGGGCTCTCGCTTGGGGCCTCCTCGAAGCTCGCGGCCAGAAGTGCAAACAGGAACAGCAGCTGCACATGGGGAGGGCGGCCGCTCTGTTGAGCGGGGACCTCGCTGAACACCTCGTCGGACTGGACAGCCCTACCATTTTGCATTCGGTACTGGTCGCCAGAGGGATGCAGGTCGGCTCCTTTTCAAAACGCGGCTCCCGCCCGAATGGCAGGCCTGTCTGCTGCTGGTCTTTCAAGAGGCGCGTCTTGCAGTGGAATGGAAAGGAAGGCCTGTGTGGAATCACGAGGAAGGGGCTTCGGACTGGAGGGTGTCTTACAGGATCGTTGACGCATCTTGGGTTTATCTTGGTCCTCCTCTTCGCGGCGTTGAAGTCCCAGGAAAGGTGTTCTGGCACAGTTCAGGATGTTGCAAAGGTTGGTTTTCAGCGAGGCACTTCCTTCAGTGAAAATGACTCCTTGTATGGGGCCCATGAAAAGGGAGGTCGTAGGGAGGGTTCACTGCAACATCGTTGATGAGCCTTGGGTTTACACTGGACCTCGTCCTCCTCCTCCTCCTCCTCATCATCATCATCAGTTTCAGCATCGTCAGCAGCAGCAGAGGCACCGTCAGCATCAGAAGTATCGTCATCATCATCAGCAGCAACATCATCCCTCCGCCTCCGCCCGCCCCGTGCCCTGGGCCCCCTGCTCTGGCTCCCGGGGCCGACCTCGGGCTTCGACCGCCCGAGAGCCGGCTGCGGCGCCGAGGCCGCGGGCGCGAGAGCGCGATGGCACCTCCCGACCTCGAGATCGGCGCCGTGCCTCGCGAAGCCCTGGAGTGTTCGGCGGCCAGCGCGGAGGGGAAGTCGTCGTCGTTGTCGCCATCGTCGTCAGGAAGAAGAAGACCTTCCCGGAAGGCTCGGAGGCCCCCCGGCCTTCTGAGAAGTCTTCTGAGCCTTCTCCGAAGGCACAGAAGAAGCCTCTCAGAAGGCGCGAGGGCTCCTGAGAAGTCCCGCCGCCTTCGAGAAGGCCTTCTCCTTCTCCTTTTCCCCCCTCGCCCGCCGCCGAGGGGTACCAGGAAGAGTGCTGGCGGGCAGGCTGTGCGGGACCGGGGGCTATGCTGCGCGGCGCGGCGTTCTCCAGAAAGGTCGGTCCACAGGGAGTCGACTCGGCAGGGGGGCCGCCTGCCTCCCGAATGCACAGTGGAGACCCAGGCGAAGAGAGAGACCCCGATTGCCTCCAGGGTGCCCCGGGCTTCTTGGGTCTCGATGGCTTTGCTGTGGAACGCGTGACGTTCCCACACCAAAATCAGTGGACGTCCTCTGGTCTCAGGGTTGTTTTTTTGTGGAAGGTTTCTTGTGGTCGAGCCCCTACTGTAGACACGGCGGTCCCCCAGCCACTCGTTGTGGCCAGGTGGGCATGAGCTTGCACTCCGCTGCCCCATCGGAGGACAGGTCGAAAGGCCCGCCCTCCGCCTCAACCTTTTTCTTCTCCCAGGCGTTTCGTCTGCGTGTCCGTAGGCCCGTCGGGGCGTTTCGTCTGCAAGTTGTCTGGAATGTGTTCTCCTGAGTCCTAAGACTACAAAAGTTACACGGATGGAAGCTGGTACTTTTTCAAACAAGGGGCTGTCGCGCCGCGCACATTCGTTTCGGAAGGCTTTCAACAGTTACACGCATGGAGACCGATTGGTTTTCACACAGTTGTTATCGTTTGAGATTTCCTCGAAAAAGACCGCGGGCGTAAAATTGAAAATGGTTCACACGGATGAGTGAGGGCGGTTTCTTTCTGAAATGGGGTTCTCGTTCGAGACGTCTTGAAATGGAACGACCCGGAGGTTGAAGGTGTGTACTTGTTGCGCAGAGGGAGGGCAGGTGTTGTTTCAAAATGCGAGTATCGCATAAGGTGTCCTCAGAATAAGTGGCCCGAGTTTACACACGTGCATCAGCTACACGGATGGGCGCTGCTCCTTTTCAAAACAGGGTTATGATTAGACGTTTCGTTGAGTTGTATGATCTTGCCCTGTCGCGCTCATTATAGCTCATTCAAAACATTCACGCCAGCTTCTTTTCCAAAAGGGGCTTCCGCCTGAAAAGCAGGCCCACTGGAGGCTCGTCTCTCGAGGAGCGCTACTTGAAGTGAAATCGAAGTTCTGTCGGAACTTGTGAGGAGGGAAGCTGCGACGGATGACTGTATGGCAGCATCGTTACTGCATAGTGGGGTGAATGTCATCCTCCTTCCTCCTCCTCCTCCTCCTCCTCCTCCTCCTCCTCCTCCTCCTCCTCCCCCTCCTCCTCCTCCTCCTCCTCCTCCTTCTCCTCCTCCTCCTCCTCCTCATAATCATCCTACTGCTTCCCCTCTTCTCCTGCCTTCTCATACCTTCGTCCCTCTCTCCCTCTCCTTCCCTTCTTCCTCACCGCGCCCCCACCCGCACCCCCCCCCCCAACCCACCACCACCCGCCCCGTCCCCGTCCCCCCCCCTCACCCCCCGCAAGGCTCGTCGAATGCGTGGTCGGCTGGAAGAATTGAGCGCGCACCCCCGCTCCTGGACGCGCGCCCCGCGTCCAGGATGTGGTCGCACCTTGCGGTGCGCGCGCCCTCCCGTGCCCATCCAGACGCGGGGGAGGGAGAGGGGGGAGGAGAGGGGAGAGGGGGAGGGAGGGAGGAGGGGGGGGAGGGAGGCGGGGAGGGGGAAGAGGGGGAGGGGGGGAGCGGGGGAAGGGCGAGGGAGAGGGAGGGGGGGTGTCCTGAGGAGAGAATCAGGGAGGGAGGAGAAGCGAGGAGGGAGGAGGAGGGAGGAGACAGAGGAGACAGAGGAGAAGCAGAGTACGCGGAGGACGTGTGGAGGAGCTGTCCGTGTCGAGTTCCTCGCCTTCCGACGCCGGGAAGCTCTGCGCTAGGAAGTTGGGGAGTCCCTTTTGCGCCAGGAAGCCCAGCCGCCGTGCTCTCTG